CTCAAAGTATAAGCCCGAACTTACACCAATACATCCTTTACTTAATAAATCCATAAAAATACTGAAAAATATAAATACAATCTGAAATATTTTTCTGAAAAATAACATAAAAATTGAAATGTCATTAAGGAGCTCAATTTATCAACATTTAAAATAGAATCTCCATGCACATAGAACATGTACTCGTCAGTAAGAACACATTATTTTGTTCTACCATATACATAATTATGAGATTTTTCTCATACAAACATCTGAAATAACCAACGTAAATGAAATCTACTATCCCATTTGAAAATATATTTGGAACAGCATCATGAAATACAAAAAATCAATATCCAACAATAGAAATAAAGTAAATCCAACCATAAGAGAGTAAACGTTAAAATTGGAAGAATATTGTCCGTCTATTTCTTTTCATATTTGCTTTTCTTCTTATTAGACACCATATTACTATCTTTGTCTTGATTCAAACGTGTCCTCGAACGAAGATGCCATGCAGGTGGTGACCAAAATTCCAAATCAATTCGATTATCCAATTTATCAGATAATTTCTTCTTAACATTTTTTCTTTTGCCCTTCTCAGGAATAAACGTTTTCAATTCACATTAACGATAGATAAACCAACATTTGTCATATTACCATCTACTATACCTTTATCTCCATTTCCAACATGTTCGGATTGTTGCAATGGATCATCCATAACAATATCAGGTACAGTGTTGATATCTTCACGGATATCGATATCAACAAAACCTACATAAATATATAAATAAATAAATAAATAAATAAACATATATGAGTGAATTGCAACTTTTTGGGACGATTGGAATTTTAGCTATATTTGCTGAATAAAGTCAGGTTCCACTTGACCGATTTGGATAATTTTTTTTACACGTTATTATCCTCTGAATACCCCACTGTCATACAAAGTTTCAGCTCTCTAGCTCTTGCTATCGAGGACTTATGGGGTCTCACATGGTGAAAAAGTCGCATTTTATAGGAAGATGTGCTAAGAAAAGGTATTTTTTTCGTATAAAAGGAAAGAAGAAAAAATTGATGAATAGTCCGTTTAGTACAGCCTGAAACGTTCTTTCAAATGATATAACGTTCGTATTTCTTTCTCGTTCTTTTCATGCCCATGCAGTCCAAATATATGTTTACAGACATTTGGTCATTTTCATGTAGACTTACCTTATTTTTTAATTTTCTCCCTCCGATTATAACTTGACAAATCGGAGTGGTATTCAAAAGAAAGGCCATCGAGCGGGAAACAAATTGAGAAAAAAAATCTTCCTAACATCTTTTCTTTTCGTCAAAAAAAAGCCAATCTTTTTCTAAAAATTTGAGTTTTACTCACTTTGTAGAAGGATTTTTTTGAAACGTACTACGTAAATAACTCCTGGACGGTTCGTTCAATTTCGCTGAAATTTTTACGGTAGATGTACTTCTAAGAGCTACATAACCAGAAAAAAATTTCAGCCATCTATCTCTTACCGTTCTCGACATATTTACATTACATGATGAGACGTAGATGGATATTTTTCATTTTTTATGGTACACTTATATGGGAATAAGCCGTATCTCAGCTATTACGTGGTAGAGTGTTGTGAAACTTTTGCTGCGCAACATAGGCATAGAGTGTAGTAGAATGCACTGCTCAGAAATGGTTTACGTCTACTTTTAGTTTTTCGCATCAATCGTACCAAAAAATTGCAATTCACTCATATATACATACATAAGAATTTAAACAAACTATCATAAACATAGTTTTAAATGCAGAAGTTAAAATGCACTTACAGTTGTCAACATTTGCTTCTATTTCCTCCAAAACTTCACTAAGAATACTATCACTACTGTCATCATGAAGACTTGTTCTCAAATTCACGTAGTCAGTTGTTGCATTTCGATTTCGTAAAATGTCGAGTAATTCAATCATTCATAAACCAATATCATCTAATGTACAAAATAACATATCCTGAAAATCGGATTTTGGTGACAAAGAATTGTCCACGAATTTCGTTCCATCATTTATTTTACAATTGCCTAATACCCTTTGTACCCTGTTGGGTCATTTTTGACCCGTTTACACAAAGTTTTGCAGAAAATACAGGACCCATGGTATTGAAAATCCGCAAAACAATATTGGTACGGGACTTCTTAAGCTATCGATTGGTAAAAAAATTATTTTATTTCGTTGCTCTATCTCCGAGATATATGACTTTCAAAATTATCGATTTTGAAAGATTTTCAAAATAACAAAATTTTCAAAACAAAACGGTTTTTCACTCACACGCAATAGAGATTTCGAGGCTGCGTTGTGTCATCTATATCGACAAAAGTGTCTACTATTTAACTAAATACGTTTCAAAAATTTCACAATGGCTTGGCAGATAAGAAATGGTAAGACACCAGATGGATCCTGAAACGACTATTGAACAGAAAGAGAGAGACGACGGATATCATGGATATATTATTCGTAAATCTTATCAGAATAGCAGTCGAAAAAAAATATTCATCATCGATTAAATGTCTTCATTGATGATATAATTACTTAAAGAAAAATGTGTATTTTTAAAAAATCTCTGCCAAAAATACATGTGGTGTTTAAAAATAGCTTTTTATATTCGTAGCTTATCTTTTTGAATTTGAGTGTAATAAAAAGGAATAGAAGGCACATTTGTCTAATTAACACCGTCATAAACAAGAAAAGAAGTAGGGCTTTTAAAGTTGTTCCATCCCCTTCTCTATCTCAATGGTCACTGTGGTAATCAAATTCCCCTGAACAAAAGGTAATGCGCCTGATCGATCTGCCTATACCATTAGTATATTGGGGAGATCAATACTCTATTTTTATGGTAATTTTACCAGTGGCTCTTCTGGAACCGCTTCAGGGTATAAAGGGTTAACAATAGAGAGATTCACCTATGTTGAAGTCATTTTGTAATACAGGATCTTTAGATCATTTCCAAAAGAAAAATTAGAAGATTGTTTTCTTGTATTTATTAATTTATTTGCTCAAAAAAAAAGAGCTTTTAAAATAATCGAATAAAATCAATAATTTAACTAATTTGATAGACAATATTTTAGGGTAGAGAATAAACCAATATAAATAAACAACTCAACTTAAATTAGTAAGATAAAAGTAAAGTAAAAATTAACTGAAAAATTTCTTTTTACACAGAAACTATTAATGTTTTTTTTTTAATTATAGTTTTATACTCTTTTCTTTTTATTTCATTTGTTATTCTTCTGGTGATAGTGACATGTACAGGTTAAGATGACGATATTGGTAAGAAACCATACTTAAATTTCCTTATTTGTATCACAACCATCGTCTCATCCTAGTCCTTATTATATCTCATGTTTGTACTGAACTTTTTATTTCTTGAATTTCATTTTTCTTATGATTATTGTTTTTCTCATATTCATCTATAGGATACAAGTTTTGAACCGAATTGTTAATGATTGAATAAATAGATTTTTTGACTCTTCTTCTTTTGTAAATCTATCTCATTATATATAATGAATGCATCGATACGATTGAATCGTTATAAATAGGATTAAAATGACATTCAATTTGATATATCACGAATTTGAATTTTGTTCTGATGTTAAAATTTAATGATGTACCAATTTTATTTAAGTAGAAGAAATTTAAATTGATTTTTAGTTTTTCCTAGTTCTGGTTTCAATACTTCTATATGAGACACAAATGATGAAAAGCAAAATATTATTTTTTTTTTCTGTTCGAAATATCTCAAATTTTTATTTGTCCTCCATTCATTTTTGTCATAACCGGTAAATTATCAGGGTAAATGTATAATCTATTATATTTGTTGACATCATTCAAATCATTCGATATACATACATTGATCCATATTTATATAAATACGCTAGCGACAGAAATAAACTATTTCTGATTCAGAAAAATTTCTATTATGTATGTAATTTCTCATTAAATATGAAATAGTTTTTCTCTGAGCAAGGATCTAATAATTTTCTGAAATACGATCTGAAAGGAATGTTCAAGTGTTTAGGGTAGAAATTTTGGAGCCACTCCCCCCCACAGACCGTGACAGACATCGCAATTAATTAATTAATTAACTAATTACCCATCACAGGCTGTGACAGACAGGACTCAATTATTTAGGGGTCATCCGTTATTTTCTTTGTG